CAACAGACCCTGTAGGGCTTCCTTCCCCATGTCATAGTCACTTGAATACCTCAATCCCTTGATTGTAAATGTATTAACTTATGCAATTCTTACACAACTCCAACCACCGACAGCAATGAACATACTGTCTCTGCCTTAATTCTGGCTCCTAGCAACCTTAGAGTGCACACACGATGGCTCCGCATGGTTCCCAAGACTGTATTTTCCGTGGTGGTAGACTGCCTCCTCTAGACCCTGTGAGCAGCAGGTGCACTTAACGTTGAACCCTGTGCATCACCTTAGGATCTCACAAACAGAATGCTATTATCCTTCCTCCTACAGGTAAGGGAGTGGGGTGTAGAAGGTCACAGTCTTCGCCCAGATGCACACACAGAGCATTTATGGTGGAGCCTGTCAGAACACAGGCAAATCAGCAGTAAAGCCGAGTGGGGTTGCTGTTAATCGATGCAATTACATTGCCCCCCCCACCCCAACACCACCCCCGCCCCCAGTGTGAAAGGGACAAATCCTTTTCTTTCTTTTTTCTGGAAATGGATAAGCTTCTCCAAGTGTTCAAAGGCAAATATGCCTTCCCGGCACCCTGGTTATCTTCAAGTGTAAAAGAAATGTGATAAATGACCTTTAATTTGCACTACAATCACTCGCAGGCTCCGCTGAGCTTTCATTCTTGCAGGAACAATTCTCTTATTTGCTGCCTTTATGTTTACTTGTTTTTAGTTTTGTTTTCCTGATTGTGTATTTTTAGATTTGACTGCCAGGCCATGAACTCGGAAGAGTTCTTCTGAAGGGAGTAACAGAAGAAATGCAAAAAGCAATGCGAATCAATATAGCACCCTTTTTTTGGTTTTTAATAGAAGGATCTCTGGGAACTAAAACACACTCCCTGAGGGGAGGGAGGCAGCCATCGGTTGCAGGTCTCTGTTCTCACATGCATTCCCTACACTTGGCTGAAAGGCCTCTGTGGTCTCAGGCCTTCAGAGATTGGTCCCATCCCACCCCCAAGTCTAAGGGCTGCCTCTCACCCTATGTGCACACGTCATTCCCACCTACCTTAAAAGCAGCACCTCCATGGATGACGGATTTGATGAAAATCCCCAAGTCTGTTCCACTTTCTCGGGACTTGTTCCCTTTCAAGCTCACGCCAAGCCCCGCGGAACCAGAGTCATTCAGGGGAATTTCGAAGGTGAGCGGCTCTGTGGTCTCCAGGGACAGAACGCAGCAGTCAGGTTCTCCTTTCTGTTAGGGACAAAGCACACGGAGGGAAAAAGTGATTACTGATGATGCAACCAAAGCTCTGCCGGTGTAAGGGCTGACACGAAAGCGTGGGCCATCCACCACATGCTTCTGACTGCCCAAGGCCAAGGGCAAGCCCTAGGTCCAACCCAAACTGAGATGGTGAGAGAATAAGAAAGCAAGTGCTTCAACAAAACCAGAATGCTAGTCAACCGTGGCCTTTTTTAACTCTTGCTTGGGAGAGGACACCCAGGGTATCAAGCCATTCCACAGATCTGACTTCCAAGCACAGAGCTGCATTGAGCTTCAGTTCTGAGCACTTGATTTGGAGCAGGCAGCAGTTTACAGTGGGCGCTGCACATTCACTGAGTCTTCACACACACAGCCTCCAGTGAGCTCTGTTTGACCACTGAGCAACAAGGAAAAATTGTTTTCTCCCCACCAAATGGTGTGCTCAGTGGAACACCTCACCAACCTTCTTCCCTAGCCAACTTTTAGAAGGGGCTTCTCACCCCCGAAGGCCATGCCTAGCGTGGCCAGAATGTAAATTGGGCTCCCACGGCTGCCTGGTTCTGAGTCTGCCCAGCAAAGGTAGGGGGAGGGCCCAGAACCAAGTCTAGAATCTTTCCTAATCCCCATCAGGTTCCATGTCTTTATTCCTCGTTCTCTCCAATAGTCCCAGCTACAACTGTGAGCTACTGACTTGCCACCAATCACGATACTGTGACACATTTGGTTCTACAACCTGCATAACTAGCACTGTTGGCACGAATCCTGGGACACCATGATGGCAGCAGGTGGATGGAATTCCTCCTCCTGGTGATTGGTTTTGTCTTTGTCCCATTTGAGAACCAGCCAGGTAGGACTTTTGGCCCTCTCAGAGCTGCACTGCTTTTGGGGGGCAGGCACAGGCTGGCCTGTATTCTCTGTCAGGGGTCACCAGTCTGGCACTAGGGAGGAGCTCCAAGCTCTGAGGGGATACTATTTACTTAGGGTCCTCAGAGATGATCATTTGATGGAGGAGAGTCACACGATTTGACACACCCCATAGGCACTTGACAAAGCAGCAGAATACTCTGAATCATAAAAGTGCTGGGCACTAGGCGGGAGAAATGTGAGGTACCACAAGAGACATGCCTTCAGTGGGTGGGACGGCATTGTCCAGAAAGATATGTCAAAGTCCTAACCTTTGCCCCATTTGCATGTGACCTTGATGGGGGTCACAGGGTCCTCCTTTTGTTATCTTTTGGGTCCAATGAGTGGTGTTTTATAAAAAGGGAGTGACACACAAATAGAGTGAGATAGACACTGCACGACGTGGGGGTTCCTCTTCACGAAGCAGAAGAACCCCCAGGATAGCTGCCAGCCACTGGGAGAGAGGAGGCGGACACACACACACACACACACACACACACACACACACACACGTCTCAAATCTCGGAGTTTAGACATTTTGCATTTGCAATGGTTAGAAAATGTGCTTCTGTTCTTTAAAGCCACCAAACTGAAAACCCAACCAAACTCCCTGCCGTCCAGTCCATGGTGACTCAGAGCTCTTCCCCTGTGGGTTTCTGAGACGGGAAGGTTTTCCGGAGTAGAAAGCCCAGTCTTTCTCCTGTGGAGTTGCTGGTGGTTTCAAACTGCCCACCTTGTGGATAAGAGCCCGATCACTGCAGAACCACTGCACCGCCCGGGCTCCTCTTAAAGCCATCAAATCAGCTACATTCTGGCAGCCCTGGGACAGGAAGGCAAGACCTGAGAGATAATGTAATCCCCAACACCTTCATTTGACAGATAAATAAGTAGCGCTTGTGAAGAAATGTATTTAATTCTGGGACATATTTGGCTTCTATAATTTTAATAACATTTACCACAGAAGTAATGACTATAGAAAGGGCAACGAGTCCTTTAAAAAAGATCATTTTCTTCTCGTGTTACAGAAATGTGATTTGTAATAGCTATCGCTGAATTAAATTTCAGTTTCTCAAAACTCATGCTTTCAACCTTTGGACAGCATAACTCAGTGCTCTGTTTCCTGAACCTAAACAAAATGATTCTGCACTGGACGTATAGATGTTCTGTTTAATAATAATAATAACAACAATAATAACAATAATAATAATAATAATAATAATAAAGGAACACGGAGTCTGATAGCAAAAGGCACATGTAGTCTCTAGGTCTCTAGTGAGAAGAATATAGTGGATCATATTCAGTCCCAAGTGCTTGGCAGGACACAGCTGTGGCAATGGGAAAGTGTGTTCCACGGGGCATCCTGCTGGGAGCTGCTCCTGCTCTGGCTGCCCCTCCGTCCCTGGCAGCAACATGAGACCCCTCCACCCCCCACCCCTGCACAGTGAGCAAGGGGACAGGCTGCAGAGGAGAGATCCCTGGAGGTCCGCGCCTCTGTCTTTTGAGGAAGTCTAGGGCATCCCCTCTGATGGGCACTCTGAGGAGAATCTTATGCAAAATTACACATTAAAAAATACTGTGAATGTCTGAATGCCAAGCACAAAACAACAGCGATAAAATCAGAAAGAGCAAAGGACCCATAATTAAAAAAAAAAAAAAAGGATTGAGGCGTCTGATCCAACTGACGTGGTGCTTTCCACCCCATCAGAAGAGAGGAAACTGCCCACGGCTGACTGATCAGGGAGAGTTCTTCCACTTCGCTGCATTCTGAATGAAGCCGGCTACAAAGATTTCCACAACAGGTTGTTTCAAAGAAATGGAATGTTCTCGCTTAATTTAATAAACCTATTGCCAGGTACTTTTAAAATGAACTCATTATATTATTATTCTAAGAAACAAATCTCATTATTTGATTCAAACCAGATATATCTTCTTTTTTTAAAAGTGGGATATCGGAGTGAAATACTAAATATAAACACTCCACCGTCATTTTGTCTTTTCAAATGCCTGATTTAGAATCAATAGCATTCCACAATCATTTGTTAGTGGGTCTCTCTGGGATTTGGCTTAGCTCATTCCAATAAAGTTCTACTAGATTAATAGAAATTTTAAAAAATGGATTTTCTTTTTATAAGCCAATAACTACCATGGTAAGAGAAACAGTAGGAAGTTCTCTGGTTTGTTTTCTTTTTGTATTCTATCCTGGACAAAATGACACAAGGGCCAATTCTGCTTGAATAATACCTTCACACTACTTTATTTTATAATCAAATCCATTTTCTTTTAGCAACTGTATCTAACTCTCCATAAGATTGAGAGTCAAAACTTGCACTAACCCCCTTCATTTATCACATGGGTGGTAGGAGCAAACAGAGATAAGGGTTTTGTGGTTATCTTTTCCTTTGATACTAATTTATCTTTCTAAGTCCTCATGTCAGAGAGTTGAAAATGCATCAACTACAAACAACAGGAAAGCCCTTGGCTAACATGGAGTGCTTCCGTTCCTAGGGTGTGCAGTAGTTTGTATACTACTCACAAAAACGCTGCGTTTCTTGACCCGCGTGTCTATTTGACTACATGACAGTCAAATAGGACCATGCTAGCAATCCACAAAATGTCAAGGTGGAGTCCGGGGGAGTTTAAGTATGGTGGCCACAATGTTAGGCTCTTACTGGCTCAATTATACCGTGCGACTCTGTCTCAGCTTCCACAAACCATTGTGACTAGACCCGGCCACAAAACCGTTCCAAGACAGCTCGCTACAGTAAGGGCAAGTCACCATGCAATTTCACATTCCCACTTAAGTTCCGTCATGTTTTATACCTTTCTTATGCTACACCAGGCTCAAGCGATAATTAGTGGTCTCTAATTATACCCAACTTCCCAATGGAGAAGGAAGCCATTACTGTAGTTAACATAGCCATTTCCTCTGTGAGAAATAAATTGTTCTTTTACCTAATGTACAAAAAAAAATCAATATGCTGAATGTCTCTTTTCAATAATCTCAGTTCAACTGACAACTCTGAAAGTTCAACTCAAATCTTTTCAGACAACCATTTGCTGCTTTAACAGGAAGGGATAAAGGACCCGTGATGCTCCCGTGTGGCATGTTAATGGTGTGGCAGGAGCCCTGGGGTACAACGGGTTTTGCCGGAGGCTGTGAATGGGAAGGTCAGGCCGTGGTTGGCTGGCACTTCGGGGGAGAAAGACGTGGCTACTCCCACAGAGTTGCAGCCCCGGACCTCTATGGCGGCACAGTTCTACTGTCCTGAAGGGCCACTGTGGTTTTGCTTGTTCCAGGTTTAGTGATGTGAAGAACCTGACAGGCTTCAGACCTTGGATCTTCCCTGGCTTCCTGGCTTCGGGAGCGGAGTCATTTCTGCTTTCTGTTGACGGGTTCCCTTACGTTTCCCCTGTAGACTCCCAGGTGAACAAAACACCCACAGAGGCAAAGCGGGTTGGGAAAAGGAACACCTGTGAATTTCCTTAGTATTAGTTATCATCACCGTTTCTAATTGTTCACCACTGGAAGTCCTATTTTTACCTCTGAGGGGGCTTCAAACATTCATGGGAAAATAGAATTCTATGTTAATTCTATTTTTCTCTCTGATTCATTGGAGCTCCGTCTTACAAAGCCTCTTAGGTTTCAACAGCCTGTCTCAGGCCAGGTGCCCATATGACCTGAGTATGTGCATGCCTTCATTACTCAGTGCTGTTACCACTAGTCGACAGTTCACCGTTTCAGAAGACAACAGATGAGCAAGAACCAGTGGTGCTGAAGGAAGAAGTTCCAACTGCACTGAATGCATTAACCAAAACAAGGTTCCAGGAATTGACAGAATACACCTGACATCTTTCAGAACGCCGAAGAAGCACTGAACGCACTCACTCGTCTATGCCTGGACATTTGAAAGACCTGGCCAATGGGCTGGAAGTGATCCATATTTGTTCCTGTTCAAAAGAAAGGTGACCCAACAGAATGCTCAAACTATAGAACAGTATCATTGAGATTGCACACAAGTAAAATTTTGCTTAAGATCATCCAACAATCGAAGCAGTAACGTGACAGGGAACTGCCAGAAATTCAGGCT